TTTTAGGAAATGAAAAGGGAAGGAAGTATACTAAAATTGGAACATGTAACTTTGTATCCTATTAGTCTTTTTTGAAAGATAATAAATCACCGTGAAAGAATATGTTCACTTTTTGACAGAGTGTTCTTAATATGTGTCCTGAAAATAGATAAGATGTACCTAATAAGCAATTGTGACATGGCTTCTATTTAAATTCTCCCAGTCTTTCCCTTTTCTCCCTTTCACACTCATTTTCACTTCCTAACATGCACATACACACACGTCTGCCTTTTCCTAGGTTATCATAATTATATAGGATTTTTAGATTCTTTAACTATTTAGGATTTTCAGTACATTAAATGTCCTATCAGGTAAAATAACTGAGTCACTGGAAATTCTAACATTCCTAATTGGAAGAGGAGAATTAACAATTTTCTAGGGATTTAGGGACTACATAGAGAAATACAGCATCACATTTTAAACTTCCTAAACTAAAAATATTTTTCTCTTTTTGGGGAGCCTGTGTGGCTCAGTCAGTTAAGCATCTGACTCTTGATTTCAGCTCAGGTCACGATCTCATGGTTCGTGGGACTGAGCCCTGAAGGGCTGCAAGCTGACAGTGTAGAACCTGCTTGGGATTCTCTCCCTCCCTCTCTCTACCCCTCCCTGATCACACACACACTCTCTCAAAATAAATGAATAAACATTTAAAATATATTTTTTCTCTTTTTGTGTAAATAGGGTTTTTTTTTAGCACTGCTTTTCTTTCTCTAATCACCATAACTATTTTTTTCCTGTCTACTTCTTTTTTAAATATTACTTTATCCTGACAAACCAATTAATACTTTTTGATGTATTTGGAGCAGGGGGTAGTTTGTTGACAAATGTATTTTAGAGGGTCCATATAGTATTCTGAGCAAGAACCAGATCTTTGGAATCCTCCAGCTCTGGATTATGGTCATAGCCTAGCCAGTTACTAGCTGTTAAGCCTTAGAAGTTTCCTTCACCTCTCTAAGCCTGTGCACGTTCATCTGTAAAAGGTGATGGGAAAGGTTGTATATATTAACTAACTCTTGGAAAAAGTATTTGCACTGTGTTGACACAGCGCTGTAGTTATTTTATACCTTTTAATCCCTTAAATGAGAAGAAGTATTAAATAGGAAACTTCTTTCACATTTACATAAAATTAGTTTCTCTGATAATTATAAGGTCCTATTTAGTTCTATTTGGCCCCTTTGTATAAGTAGTACTTAGCTAGAAACTGCAGTGAAATCATGCAAGAATATAGGACAGGAAGAGAAAGCAGTGATCCCATGGTAATTTGAATGGAAACTACCGAATTGATAATATATGAGGAAGAGAAAGGAAAAAGCCATGGGTCAAATGAATCTTGGAAACGTTTTAGTCTCAGAAACCCCTTTGCTCCCCCTGTAAGTCTCATACTTAATGCTCCAGAATTTAACATTTTATTCTGGATAAAAACGGTTACACTGTTTCCATTTATGAAAACTCGTTCATTCATGACTTGATTTTACCTTTGAGGAAACTTCAGAAAAGAATGACTACCAGAGGTATTATAAGCTGTGTTCTCAAATGCTTTTCTCATTATCCTCTTTAACATTTTTTTCTGGAAGCACCTTAGTGACGAGTGTGATAAGGTTAACTGTGTGTGCCTGTGTGAACTGCTTATGTTGATAACGGAGGGCAGTCATAGCAGGAACACAGCACAGCATGTTCCACCACGGAGCAGCCACCGTGCTCTCAAGGCCAGCCATGCTGCCAATCTTGGGTTAGCATCTGTAGTGAACAGTGCACCCTGTATTTTCTTCAGCATATAAATGAATTGACAGTCATTTATAGAGAATAAGTTTTTGTGAAAGTAAACACAATTTTCAACCCTTGACAAACTGTTAAAAAAGAGGAAATGGATGGAAGATGGATAATTTTGACAGACAGAAAAGGCTCGAAGAGAAAAAGATAATATCTGTGGGTATGTAAGACACTGTCTTCAGACGATAGAAACATCCACTCTGAGAATAATAGATAAAGAGTTCAAAGTTTCAAAAGGAAACCAACCCGTCCTCAGAGTAATTGTAAACATGTGGAATGCATCTGTGTGAAGATGAAATTACATAATTTGTTAATAAAATGAAATGAAAATTGTGGGCATTTCATTTAGTTTTGTTTTTTAGTTATTTTAAAGAGAGTGGAAGGAAATAGGGAGGTCATTAGGAAGGAATGAGGGAAGAAAGTGAATATATATATTTATTCCAAGTAAAGATGATGCTAGTTGTTTTCTGCTTTATCAATAACATCACTCATTCATAATGAATCTCACCTGGTCAAATGACTGGGTAGAAATAGTGGAGATTATTTTGGAATTGTGTAATACAAAAGTAGTGAACTGGTGTCAAATGATTTGTCCTTAAGCATTATTATGTGCTTACTGGCTAAATGCTTTTGTGAAACTGATTTTCACCAAAAAATATATGTTTAATCATTAGGCTTGCATCTGAGCAACTCTTGACTTGTTGAAAAAATAATTTATTTCTAAATGATGATTGTTTCCAAGTATTAATAAGGTAGTGATAATGATACTAAGAAAATTTTATTCCAGATAGAACCAGAAAATAATACTGTTTCTCCAGTTGTACCTGAAATTTCCACTTCTGTTTAGCGCCACCACTCTTTGGTCTGAAAATCTGAGTTGCTCATTTCCACTTGAAGTTTTTATTTTGAGACAGTGGAAGAAAGAAGTAATCATTTCTTTCTCACATTGTGATTTTTTCTTTTCATTTTAACTTTGATAGCATGGAAATCCATCTTCTTTTTGTAGAATAGCTTAAGTAGACATACCATTCTTTGAGCTTATTTAAATACAGGTTGTATTACAGTTGCTCAGTGAGGTATCCGTGAGACTGTCATTTGAGAAAGCCACTGAATTATCACTTATGACCTGACTTTCCTTAGTATGCTGAATGACTATGAACAGAAGACACATCATTGAGCCTAAATTTTGATTTTCTTTGGAAGTATAAGTTTAAACAAAGGTTGTAGGCATCTTTGATATTGGTAAACTGCAGAATACCCTTCACACAATTATAGTTATGGGAGAATTGTTTGGTATCAATAGTTTTATTTTAGGTATATTGGGCTTTGGTGAAAGTTTCTGTCCAAGAACTTGGAAGAATGCCTAGCATACATATAGTAAGTGCTCAGAGCAGTTTTATGAAAGACCATCTACTATGTGCCAGATTTCTGTGAGGGATTCAAAAAACCCTATGAAATAAGATACCTGTATGGTAGTATTGATGAGAAAGAAATTCTGTGTAATGGAACAAAAGTTTTCTCTACCTTGGAAAATTTTCTGAAGACAGATTCAGGAAAGATTTTTTTTTAATTTTTTAAAAATTTATATTTAGTTTTGAGAGACAGAGAGAGACAGAGCACAAGTGGAGAAGGGGCAGAGAGAGAAGGAGACACAGAATCGGAAGCAGACTCCAGGCTCTGAGCTGTCAGCACAGAGCCCGACGCGGGGCTTGGACTCACGAACTGTGAGATCATGACCTGAGCCGAAGTCAGACGCTCAACCGACTGAGCCACCCAGGCGCCCCTCAGAAAAGATTTTAATTGCAGGTCAGAGATGATATCTGAAGGGGATGGATTTGGATTGTAAACAAAGGAGATTATGTTAAGTCTATGAGCTTGGGAATTTCATTGTACTGCAGATTCCCTCTGTGGATCATTGTAGTTTGTGGGACAATCTAAATGTTCTTTGGAATCCACATTTTCTATGTGGTGGCCATCATTTCATAGGGAACATAGTAAAGACAGGTTCTGGTAGATATCATTACCCTTTTGTGGTAACTTTTCAAAAGCAGTATGTCCTACAGGTTTTGTGGGTTTGTTTGGTTTGGTTTGGGTTGGGTTTTTTTGTTTGTGTGTGTGTGTATGTGTGTGTGTGTGTGTGTGTGTGTGTGTGTGTGTGTGTGTGTGTTTTGCTTTTTCTGCCCTCTGTTTCTCCCAGTGAAGGTCAGGCCACCCCAAGTTATTTTGATAAATAGGAAGAGTTTGCTATTTGTGGGAATGAGTTGGGGGCTTCCGGAAGGGGACTTATGCAAAAATAAACAGCAGAAAAAGCAGTATGTAAGTTCTATATGTGTAGTTAGTTTACTTTAGAGTTACAGTAGGTAATGAGTGCTTCCAGTTCAGAAGAGCAAGCATTTGTTTTGGCTACTTATCAGTGTAAGTCTAGCTCATTGGAAAATTTAAAAAAGTGTGAATTTGAGGAGCTGATAGATTATTTTATTAGAATTCCTACCTATATATTTTTGGCTGATGACTTGCTGAATGGATTTTGGTCACTTGAGTTTAGAAGTACCATAATAAAAACTCTTTTGACAGGTTGGCTAGGAATTGCTATGTAGACACTCCCCCCATCTCCTCCCCACTTCAAATAGGGATGAGGATAGCAGACACAAGGAGACCACTTGCTAGACTCTTAAAATGATCCCTCTTTCTGCCTATTGTATTGATCAAGGCATGAGTTGTTGAAGACCTGGACTAGGGAGATAGCAAAGAGAATGACAAGGAAGAGACTCTAAGTGGTAGAATTGGTAGAACCTGGTCACTTTGAATAGATAGGTATATATTATAGCAATCATTAATATTCATTATTCACTGAGTAATATGTAGATTGTTTTACTATTATTGTCTCATTTAACTTTCTCAACCATTTTATAAAGTATAGGTACTGTTATCATTATAAGTTGATTAATTTGATTAAGCTCACATAGTTAATAATTGTCAGAATTAGAACTTAAAACTTGGGTTTGTCTGAACCCAAGCCCTGTTTTAAAGGATATTCACTTATCAGAGCTTAGAAGAAAGAGTGTTGCCAACATTTTTAGTTAGGAGACAAATGCCCATTAGAAGTCTAATTTTAATGTTCATCATCATTATACATATAACATGAACTTTTTTCTCTTTTTTAAAAATTATTTCTTTATTTATATTTTTAGTGCGACTTCATGACAGCATATCAGAAGAGGGCTTCCATTATTTGGTGTTTGATTTGTAAGTACAACACACTTTGTGTTCATTTATTTTTGCTATTTGAAAACCACTTTTAATTAAATATTTTTTTTCTAATTTATAGTCTAAATTAATGACTGTGTAGTTTTTTTAGGTGTTCTTCAAATAACATTCACTCTAATTCTTTTGAAAAAATGTGACTGTTCAGGAGTGTTTATTTAAAACTTAAGTTAATCTAAATAGGTGAAACAGTTATGAGTCTATTGTTTGGATTGTTCACAGTGATATTATAAGCAGTTATCAGTTTTATCTTTGGGCATACAAAGGACTGATGTGAGCTAATTTTCCATTGAATATTTTGGACTATGTATACCCACTTTATTGTCTTATGTAGGAAGAACCATAGCTAACCTCATACTCAGTGGTGAAAACTTGAGGACTTTTTTCTGTAAGATCAGGAACAAGATAAGGATGTCCACCTCACCAGTTTTATTCAACATAATGTAACCACAGTAATCAGACAAGAAAAAGAAATAATAGGCATCCATATTGGTAAAGAAGAAGTAAAACTTTCACTATTTATAGATGACATGATAGCATACATAGAAAACCCTAAAGACTCCACCAAAAAACTATTAGAAGTAATAAGTCAAGATGCAGAATACAAAATTAATATGCAGAAACCAGTAGTGTTTCTATACACTAATAACAAAGTAGAAGAGAAATTAAGAAAACCGTTCCATTCATAATTGCACCAAAAAGAATAAAAGGCTTAGGAATAAACTTAACCATGAAGGTGAAACACCTGTAATCTGAAAACTATAAAATAATGACAAAAGAAATTAAAGATGACATAAACAAATAGAAAGATACTCCACCCTTATGGATTGGAAGAATTAATATTATTTAAATGTTGCTACTACCCAAAGTGATCTACAGATTCAGTGCCATCCTATATCAAGAGCATTTTTTGCAGAACTAGAAAAAATAATTCTAAAATTTGTATGGAACCACCAAAAACCCCAAATAGCCAAAGCAGTCTTGAAAAAGAAGCACAAAGGTGGAGGTGTCACAATCCCAGAGTCCAAGATATACTACAAAGCTGTAGTAATCAAAACACTATGGTACTGGCACAAAAATAGATACATACATCAATGAAACAGAATAGAGGGCCCAGAAATAAACCCATATTTATATAGTCAGTTAATCTATGATAAAAAAGACAAGAATATGGAAAATGGAGAAAAAGCCAGTCTTTTCAATAAATAGTGCTGGGAAAACTGGACAGCTACATGCAAAAGAATGAAACTAACACCACACATAAAATAAACTCAAAATGGATTGAAGACCAATAACTTTGATAAGAGCCATAGCAACATTTTTTCTAGCTATGTCTCCTAAGGCAAAGGAAACAAAAGCAAAAATAAACTGTTGGACTACATGAAAATAAAAAACTTTTGCACAGCAAGGGAAGCCATCAACCAAACAAAAAGACAGCAAACTAAATGGGAGAAGATATTTGCAAATGGTATATCTAATAATGGGTTAATATCCAAAATATATAAAGAATCTATACGACTCAATACTAAACAAACAAACAAGCAAAACAATCCAATTAAAAAAATGGATAGGGGACCTAAATAGACATTTTTCCAAAGAAAACATACAGAAAGTCAAGAGACACATGAAAAGATGCTCAACATCACTAATCATCAGGGAATGTAAATTAAAACCACAAGGAGATATCACCTTACACCTAAATGGCTAAAACCAAATACACAAGAGACAAGTGTTAACAAGGATATGGAGAAAAAGGAACCCTTGTGTACTACTGGTGGAAATGTAAATTTATACAGCCACTGTGGAAAGCAGTATGGAGGTTCCTCCAAAAATTAACAATAGAAATACCATATTATCTAATAATCCCACTCTTTGGGTATTTACCTAAAGAACATGGCAACACTAATTTGAGAAGATACATGCATCCCTATGTTCATTTTAACATTATTTACAATAACCAAGTTATGGAAGCAACTTAAGTGTCTACCAGTATATGAATGGATAAATAACATGTGATATGTATATACATACACACACATGCACACATATGCAGTGGAACATTACACAGCCACAGAGAAAGGATGACATCTTGCCATGTGCAACAATATGGTTGGAGCAAGAGGGTATTATGCTAAGTAAAATAAGTAAGACTGAGAAAGACAAATACCATATGATTTCACTCACATGTGGAATATAAAAAAAACAAAACAAAACAAGTGAATAAACAAACAAAAAGCAGAATCAGAGAACAAACTGATGGTTGCCAGAGGAAAGAGAGTTGGTGAGGATGGGCAAAATGAGTGGGGAGTGGGAGATACAGGCTTCCAGTTAGGGAATGAATAAGTCACAGGAATTAAAGACATAAGGGAATATTTTCAGTGATATTATAATAGTGTCATATGGTGAGAGATGGTAGGTTCACTTGTGAATGTATAATGTATAGAGATGTACCTGAAACTAATGCAACACTGTATGTCGACTATACTCAGATAAATAAATTAAAAATAAATACATTATAATTAAAATAATGGAAAAAAGATGCAAGGAAGGATTCTTGAGGTTGGTTTATTCAGGGGTTCAACAACAATATCAGCCTCCCATCTTTTACTTCAGCTTATTGACTTTCTTCTCAGATTGGTATGGTTCAAGGTATTATATACAGACATGCTAATATCCAGTGGAAGACATTGTCTCTTCTTTTTAAAAAAAATTTTTTTAATGTTTATTTTTGAGAGAAAGAGAAAGAGAATGAGAGAGAGAACGAGCAGGTTGGGGGCAGAGAGAGATGAAAACACAGAATCCCAAGCAGACACCAGGCTCTGAGCTGTCAGCACAGAGTCCAGAGTGGGGCTCAAACTCACAAGCCATGAGATCATGACCTGAGCCAAAGTCAGATGCTTAACCAACTGAGCCACCCAGGCACCCCTGTCTCTTCTTCTTTATAAGAATAAAATATTTACCCAGTAAATATCCCATTTTGTCTCATTGGCCATGATGGGGTCACATGCCAACCCATAACCAGTCACTGGCAAGAGGAATAGAATTACCAAGGTTGACTTAGACTAATCCGAATTTGTAAATGAAGTTCTATTAACTAGAATAAATAAGTTTGCTCTGCCCAACTGGGATATAGTGAGACAGGCAATACACATGGCTGGTAGGGGTTTAAAAGGAACACAATTTCTGGAATTCAAAATGTCCATACCATTTGACATAGTAATTTCACTTCTATAAACAAAGTCCATGGGAAGTATACCCTAAATTTATCTAAATTTAGATGAAGCTTTATGCCAAAATATGTTCATATGTTCACTGCATCAGCTTTTATAATGGGGAAAAAAGAAAGAAAGCCAACTTAAGGATCCAATAATAGAGAAACAGTTGCATAATTATGGTAAATTCATATAATGGACTATTGTCTAGCATTTTCATGTGTTTGGGAAACAAGAAAAAATACTGTTTCTTATGAATCTAAAGATAGGTTAGTGTTAAATTTTGGTTAATTCAAAAAAAATTTGATTAATTCAGCCCTTCAGTGATATCATTAAGAAATCAAGTTTTTTCTGCCTTCTGTTTGTTTTCTGTAGTATGTGAGCTGGTTCTCAAGTTGGCTACCTCATTTTCAGGCATCAGTGACTTTCAAAGTCAGGAAAAGGGCAGTATTAATGCCATTGCGTTAATCCTTTCCAGCAGAGTCCCTCAGAAGACAGTCTGTTATTGAATCCTTGTTTAGAACTGCTTCTCATGTCCATGCCTAAATCAAGTATTGAGGAGGGGAGTGGGATTACAATAGGCGTTGACCTCTTATAAATTTAAAAATGGGAGGGAACGGGCCTCCCCTGAATCACCGTATGTATAGTCAGATAAGACTTAAATCATGGCTTTGTTAAAAGAAAATAGGGGATTTTTTGCCTGTTGGGTAGGCAGCCAAGTATGTCTGCCATATTGGTGACTAGTGTATGCTGGAGAATAGAGACTGAAGCTCTGATTATGCATAGTCCTACTGTATAGGCTCCTTCTCCGTAATCACAGTCCATACATGATGTGGCTGTAGTTTGGTACCACTCCATATGGTGTTATTAGTTCCTCTTCAGTCCTTTCTCAGAGCTCATATTTTTACTTTCTCCATTGTTCTTTCTTCCTTTATGATGTTCCAAGATCCCTTCTTTTATGATTTCCTTTCTTCTTTAATTTCCTTTCTCCTTTACGCATTCTTTTAGAAATGGTTGTTTTGCTAGCAAGAAATGTTTGCTGGCAACAAATTCTTAGTTTCCTTGTTTCTGACAATATCTTGATTTCCCTCTTTACTCCTGAAAGATATTTTTGCTAGATAAAAAATTCCAGGGGGCACCTGGGTGGCTTAGTTGGTTGAGCTTCCAACTCTGGATTTTGGCTCAGGTCACAATCTCATGGTTCGTGAGTTTGAGCCCCACCGTGGGCTCCACACTAGTGTGGAGCCTGCTTGGGATTCTCTCTCTCTCTCTCTCTCTCTCTCTCTCTCTCTCTCTCTCTCTGTGCCCCTTCCTGTTCACATTTTCTCTTTCAAAATAAATAAACTGAAACAAAATCTAGGTAAGCAGTTATATTCTTTTAATGTGTCAATTCCTTCTGGATTCTTTGATTTTTTATGAGAAAATTTTTGTCATTCTGTTTTCCCCCTAAAAGTAAGGTGTCATTTCTCTCCAGCTATTTTAAAGATTTTTTTCTTTGTAGCTTTTAGAAGTTTGACTATGATGCGTCTCAGCTTGAATTTCTTAGAGTTTATCTTATTTGGTATTCGCTAACCTCTTGAATATACAGGTTTATGTCTTCTGCCAAACTTGGGAACTTTTTAGACGTTGTTTCTTTGAATACTTGTTTAGCCTTCCCTTTTGTTCCCTTCTCTTTCTGAAACTTGATAATATGAATGTTAGATCCTTTGTTATAGCCCCATAAGTTCCTGTGGCTCTTCATTTTTTTTTTTTTTTCCTCTTGGTCAGATT